GGCCAGTTGTGAGGGGCGGGGCAGAGCCAGCAGAGGCAGGTGCGGGCTGGCAGCTTTCAGTGCTCATCAGGGAGGGGGCAGTGGAGCATCCAGGCTTAGCCCAGGAAGGTGGAGGGTCCAGTAAGGTCCCAGTACCTCCCCCTGCAGTGGCTGGAGCACTGGTGGGTGACGTTATTGCAGGTCTCACTTACTGGGGACCCCCCTCCAGTCCCAGCAGTACAGGTGTGGAGTTTGCATGAAAATCCATGTTTCTACTGAAAACCACCACCCACAGTTACAGAAAGGCGCTAGGCCGTGACACGGGTGCATGCCATTGGCTTAGGCCCCGAAGGCCGAACGGGCTAAAAATGCACGACTTAAAGAATCGCCGCATTTTCAAACTGATCCAGTGAGTCTGGCCGGGCTGAGGATCACGCTCTGACGGCTTGAGAAGGTCAATGGGGCGACTGCGGCTGTGATTGCACCGTTGCTGCATTTGCAGCACCCCGCCAGCATGGCCGTAGGGGCATGGAGTTGTCTCTTCCGGTGGCTACATGAAGACATCCAAGTATGCGGGCGGCTCCGTTTCGTTCTAAGCCACCCCAAGCCTTTTTGGGGGGGGACAGATGGCATCCAAATCTAATAAAATCCATACAGCTCCAACTCCACTTCCCTCCTGCTGCAGCTTTTCCACGCCGTTTCCCCTCCACAGAGCTCAGATTGCATTCATGCTTCGTCAGTTCTTGGGCAGTTTTAAGAATCAAAGCCAAAGTTGATGTGTGGGCATGAGGCTTACACCTAGCACTGAAAAAGGAAGGAGGACCTCTGTGATGCTGCATAAATCATAAAGTACAAATCATAAGCTCTGAATGGCCTGCACTGTTCCAGGTACTTGTAGATGAGACCATCAGCCCATTGTAAATCTCCACATGCTTGGTTTGCAAACAGAGGGCAAACAACGTAGTTTCATTAAAGCTTAATGATTTACACCAGTGGTATCCAACTCATTTGGCCCCATGGGTGCGGGACCAGTCCACAGGCTGGATCTGAAGCACGGAGCCAGGTGTTTTGGCCTGCAGCACCAGAATTTGGCAGCAGTGCTAATTACTGCAGCTTCCAGAGCCATGGCAGCCTCTGTTCCTACCACTGCCAAATTTCTGGTCCCATGGGCCAGATGACACAGCTCTCCAGACAGGGCCTATGAGGCTCCCCATGAGGCCAGAAATTTGGTGGCAGAACAACTGGTGGCAGTGTTAATTGCAGCAGCTCCAGGAGCCACAGCAATTAATGCTGTGTCACCACTCACCACACGGACAAATTTCCGGATCTGTGGGGAGCCCTGTGGTCTGGATGGTTTTACAGACCAGATCCAGCCCATGGGTCAGATTTTGGTCATCCCTAATAGGACTGAAAGAAAACTTAAACCCACTTGAGAATTTCCTGAATCCATGTACAAGCCCCTGGACTTCATGCCATCAAAATGTTGCTTTCTGTAATATGCCGGCACCCTCCTGCACCAGTCCAGTATCAACTGTGTTAGTATTTCTGCCTCTTCTAGGTCTGAGACCATAAGCATTGTTGTAATTCTAAACATAAAAGTAATATACTTAATCCTTTCCTTATTTTAAAGAATTCATCTTCCTCAAAAAATCTGGACAGAGGTCTTGACTTCCCCTTTAGCTCCCAATTATTTTTGTAGCTAGCACTGGTGGTTCTATTTTGGGAGCCAGATTCAGGGGTTTGCTCTATTTAGGTAACATAAATTTGGAGGCTGGGTCCTTGAGATAGAAAGTCCATCAAGGAAAGACATTGCCGTGGAAGAAAGTTGTCTCAACTTGATTTCTTCCATTGCAACCCAAAGACATGGGTGAAGATGGTTGAGAAGTGGGACTTGAGGGGTAGAGATAAATAGTTTATACAAGCCAAGCTTCATTGAAGCCACTGCCTGGAATTTAAACTGCTGCCTTTGCTCCCTATTCATCAGGAAAGCAGCAGTGGTGGGTATTAGCTGGCTGGCTAAATCTCTCCCAGGGGTTCAGGAAGAACAGGCTGGTGCAGAGCTGTGATTTGTGCTTCCCTTTGCCAGCTGCAGTGAAAGTGTCCTTGGTGTTTATAGGGGTGTAGGTTGTAGCTGTGTTGGTCTAAGGACATAAGCAGACAAGGTTCTTTGGGTAAATCTCATATCTTTTATTAGACCAGCTCAAATAGTTGGAAAAATTCTTCTTAGCAAGTTTTCAGGTTTAAATACCCTTTTCCTATCCTATTCATTCCATCCAGGAAGAGCACACAGCAACTGCAGATGCTTCCTCAGCCTGATGAAAGGTATTAAAACCCGAAAGCTTGCTAAGAATAATTTTTCCAACTATTTGAGTTGGTCTAATAAAAGATATCAGATTTACCCAAAGAACCTTGTCTGCTTGGTGTTTATATGTGTGTGTGTGTGTGTAACCATATGTACACATATATACATATGTGTACACGGGTACAAGTCAGCAGGCCCAGATGACCTCCATCCACGGCTGCTGAAAGAATTGGCCAGTGTCATAGCTGAGCCACTGGCACAGCTGTTCGAGCACTTGTGGTGCTCCGGCCAGGTCCCTGAGGACTGGAGAAGGGCCAATGTGGTGCCCATTTTCAAGAAAGGGAGAAGGGATGAGCCGGGTAACTTTAGACCAGTCAGCCTAACCTCTATTCCTGGGAAAATGCTACAGAAAATAATCAAAGAACACATTTGTGCAGGCCCAGCAGGGGAAACGATGCTGAGGGGAAACCAGCACAGGTTTGTCACAGGTAGATCCTGCCTAACAAACCTTGTAGCCTTCTCTGACCAGGTCACACACTGGCTGGACGTGGGAGCTGAGGCTGATGTCATCTTCCTGGACTTTAGGAAGGCCTT